TGAACGATGCACCCACGTCATCTCGTGATGTAAAATTAATCAATTTCTGCGTTCAAATTACCACCTCTGTAGTTTTAGTGCAAGGAAAAGAAGAGGTACGGCTTTTTCGGACCCGATTGCATTCGCCGTGGTCACATTTTCCAGTGTCGTTGCATGTCACCAGTCCAGAGAAGTCCTCTTCAGTCAAGAAATAGGTTGCTTGAAGAAATGCGTCAAAATTAAGGGGAATTAAATAAAAAGGGGGGGAAAAAAACCCCTTCGTTGGCATTTTGTTCAACAGTTGAGAATGAGCCGTACACCAGTGAAGTGCGGCAGAATGGGAAAATGGGTAGGAAAGGGGGAAAAATATTTTTATTGCAAGAAATGAGGGCAGTTTTCTTTCCATTACAGCTGGAGGAATTAGAGCCGAGTAGTTATCTTGGGCTGATTTGGAAATGATAATTTTCTAAATATTATTGGTGTAACGCACAAAACTCCTGCCCATCTGGCAGGTTGTGGTACGTCACCCTGTATTCCCCTGTACCCTCTTCCCTTCCCAAAATATTGCATTAAATGCTTAAATAATCATTGAATTTAGGCTTTTTCCAATTGCTTCTCACATGCAGAAGCCGTTCCAGAGCTGGGGCTGATATTAAAATTACAACTCCCAGCTAAAAAAATGCCCATTTTTGCAAGAATTTAGCTTAAAGCTGCAAGGAATGATATAAAATCGGGTTGTATTATTATTATTTTAATGATTTTACTATTATTCTGGCTAGGGGAAACTGTGGCGCTTGCCCCAGCTTTTAGCAGTTGCTGCTTCATCCAGTTCCAGTCAAGGGACCAAAAAAAAAAAAGGAATTTATAGGAAGAAGAGGGTTGAAGAAATTCCTTCTCGTCTGTCACGCTCCTTTTTTCCTCTCTTTTTTAAAGGGAAATAGTGGCTGCACAAAGAGGATGAGTTTGGGGAAGGCGCTAAGCTTTGCAAAGCATAAATCCTTATTTTTCCACCTTTTTGTTCAATTATAACAAACTGAGACATCCCTTTTTTCTGCAATTTTGCCTGTTGAACCGCCTAGGAAAAAAAAAAAAGGCGAGGAGTCGGATTTATTGGAGGGGGAAAATTAAATCCTCGCACGCTCCCGCTGTGGGTTCAAATTCATGGGTTTAATATTTTGTTTTTCGCAGGAGATGCTGCAGAGCTCACCCGCGGCGCTGCCTCCCGCCTCCAACCCACCGCCGGGAATCCTGGTGCCGGCGC